CGCGGCTGCCCGAGAGGCGATGGAGCAGCAGCAGCGCCGGCCGCCCAGCGAGGCCGAGGTGCAATCGGATGGAAAACCCGGCCTGACAGATCCGGAGTGACAGGCCAAAGGGAGGGTCACGGAGCCAGGCCCGGTGCGGGCAGGGATCGGGGAGCGCAGCTGGCAGTAAAGGGCCCTCTCTTTGGGGGATCAGGGGTGCTGGTAGGTCCAAGTGCCTGTGTGAGAGCCAGGCCTCCACGTGGCCCCCTCCCCCGCCTCTGCCGTCCCATCTGGCTCCCAGTCCAGCCCAGGCTGCCCGCTGCCCCGGAAGGGTGCGTGTGCAGTGCACACAGCTCGGGAGTTTGCATCCTGCGGATGGCAACCAGCAGACTCACAGCTGGGGGATGTTTGTGCATGTGCATGCACGCACACACACGCACATGCGTGCGCACCCCAGCACATACACACATGCCCTCACACACGCACACGCACACACGTATGTACACATATATGTAAACGTGCACATGCATGCACACACCTGTACGCATACGCACACTCACATCCATGCACGCATGCATGTGCGCACACATACACACGCTTGTACACACATTCACATGCTTGCACACACCCATTAGTTGATTCCTGCAGCAACAGGCACTGGGGAACATGTGTGCACATGTACACACGCAAACGCACACATACATGCACACACACATACATGTAAATGTGCACATGCATGGACACACCTGCACGCATACACACACTCACATCCATGCACACATGCACACACATACACACACCTGTACACATATTCACATGATTGCACACACACATTAGTTGATTCCCGCAGCAGTAGGCACTGGGAAACATGTGTGCACATCTACACATGCACGCACGCACACACGCGCGTGCATGCACACACAAAAGTTGATTCTGTCCAGCAGAGGACACGGGGGGACGCGTGTGTACATGCACACACACACACACACACACACACACACACACACACACACATATGCATTTTAATTCCATCCAGCAGGGGGTGGTGAGACACCCACACACCTGCTGCATCGCCAGCTCCAAAACCTCCCAGTACATGGGTCTAGCTGGAGCGCCGGCCTTTCTGACCCCTGCTTCCATACGGGCTCCGGCTTCAGCAGCGGGAGCCACACAGTCCCCCGGGGGCCAGGCCGGCCCCTCCCAGACCCCATTCTCCTGGGCTCCATCCCGCATCGGTCCCCCCTCTTCCACGGCCGACTCGGTCCTAGCGTGGCCGATGCTGGGACTGAGCCCAGACCCGCCCCAGCTGGACACACGAGTCGCTACAGCCTGAGCCCCAAAGCCAGGCTGCGGAGGAGGGGCTGTAGCAGCCCCCTCCCATCCTGTGGGTCAGGCTCAGAGCAGGACGTGACACAGGCTTGTGGCTTATTACGACTATTGCTGTTTGTTATTTGCACGGCCTGGGAACCTGGGTCACAAGCCAGACCTGCGCTGCGCCAGGCGCTGCAGCGATGTAGGAGAAAAAGGCCCCTGCACCCCAGCGGCGGGGCCATAACCAGCATGACTGCAGGGGAGAGATTTGGGGGGGAAGGGGAGAAAGAGAACGAGGCGGTTTGGGGGATGTTTACAAGGAGCAACAGCAGAGAAAGCAGCAAGGGGGTCACCCAATGAAATGAACCGGTAGCAGGTTTAAAACAAACCAAAGGACGTTTTTCTTCATGCAGCGCTCAGTCAACCTGTGGAACTCCTCGCCAGAGGATGTGGTGAAGACCAGGATTTTAACAGGGTTCAAAAAAGAATGAGTTAAATTCATGGAGGACAGGTCCATCTGTGGCTATTAGCCAGGCTGGTAGGGAGGGTGTTCCTGGCCTCTGTTTATCAGAAGCTGGTTATGGGTGACGGGAGGGATCACTGGATGATTCCCTGTTCTGTTCCTTCCCTCTGGGGCACCTGGTGTTGGCCACTGTGGGCAGACAGGACACTGCGCTGGAGGGACCTTTGGTCTGACCCCGTCTGGCTGCTCTTATGGGCTTGTCTGAAAAGAGACCGAGGGGGTGGTGGCGCCGGGCAGCAAGGGCCGTTTGGAGACCAGCTTTGGCATCTCGGGTGCGTGAGAGGGGACAGGATGTGGGGCTCGGCCGTGTGGGGCCTGGACAGAGACCGTGCAGCTGATCTTTGATGGGTAGCGGCAGGAGGCAAAGAGAGGGGTGCCGTGGTCTCCGGGCTGGGCCTGCGAGAAGGCTGGAGCAGTGGGTGGGCTGGAAAGGCCGTATCCCCGTTCACTGAGCTCTGATCAAGCTTCCGTCTCCATCGGCTGACTGCTTTGCTGGGCTCACCCCCGGGCGGCTCGGCCCTCCGGCTCTGCGTCGGGCTCAGGCCGCAGACCTAGATCCAGGACCCGGGCATCTGGCTCCGAGTCGGGGCTGAAGCATCGGCCCAGCTCTGGCTCCGATCCCGCGACTCTCCCCCCCTTTCCCCCCGCAGATCGCCGCCCAGATCTGCAGGCAGGCCGGGCTGGTGAAAAAGTCCAAGGACGTGATGGACTACCACGAAGAGAACTTCGCCATCGTCTTCGCACCGCCGGGGGCCGGGAGGCTGCGGAGGGGACGGCCCAGGCCTGGGGGCTGGGGTCAGCAGGGCTTGCTCGGGGCAGCCTGGGTGTGGGGCTGAGGGTGGGTGGCAAGGTGGCACCGGAGCTGAGCCAGGGATCAGCCAGGGCCTGCGGGCAGGGGCCGCCTTCCGCCGGGGGCCGGGAGGCTGCGGAGGGGACGGCCCAGGCCTGGGGGCTGGGGTCAGCAGGGCTTGCTCGGGGCAGCCTGGGTGTGGGGCTGAGGGTGGGTGGCAAGGTGGCACCGGAGCTGAGCCAGGGATCAGCCAGGGCCTGCGGGCAGGGGCCGCCTTGCAGACCACGGCTGGAGGGCAGGGGGAGCACGGGGCCCACGGCTAGATTATGTGTGTCTGCAGGATGC